AACCAGCCACTCTTTAATTCGATCACGAACCGAGAAACATCAAAGGAGAAATCAAATTTCCTTCCAATCGAAACAAAGCCTAAAAAAAAAAAAGTAGAGATGCGAAAGAAGTGAGAGAGAGATAGACGTTACCTCCGATTCTGAGATGAGACACGAGAGGGGCAGCTGAGAGTCTGAGACTGAAATCTGAAGGTCGATCTGCGGGGAGTTGTGAGAAGACTGAGAGGCCGAGAGGGGGCGGCTGCTGAGAGTCCGAGATACGAAGTGAGAGAGAGATAGAGGTTACCTCTGATTATGAGACGAGACACGAGAGGGGCGGCCGAGAGTCCGAGACTGAAGTCTGAAGGTCGATCTGCGGGGAGTTGTGAGAAGACTGAGAGGCCGAGAGGGGGCGGCCGCTGATGGTCCGAGACACGAAGTGAGAGAGAGATAGAGGTTACCTCCGATTCTGAGACGAGACACGAGAGGGGCGGCTGAGAGTCCAAGACTGAAGTCTGAAGGTCGATCTGTGGGGGGGAGTTGTGAGAAGACTGAAGGGCGAAGGCTTGAGGGGAGAGGCCGAGAGGGGGCGGCTGCCGAGAGTGAGACACGAGAGAGTTGTGAAATGATGAGGGAAGGGAGTGTGACTGTGTGAGAGACTATGCCCTAATGGCTAATGGCCTAAAGTAATGCGGTAATGAATTGAATGGGCCGAAGGCCTGCTGGGAGTGGGCAGCCTGAAATTCGGGACTGAGTGATTCCTGGTGTGGGCTGGGCCTGGAACTGGAAGTAATATTAATGGTTGGGCCGAACTGGGGATGTGTTCTGCAGGTTGGGTTGGGGTTGCGGGTTGTTATGAGCCCAACCCACAACCCGCCCCAAACACTTCGGGCCAGAGGTCTAATGGGCCGAAACTTAAAAAATAATGTTGCGGGTTGCTTTTTTCGGGTTGGGTTGGGGCGGTGCGGGGTGGGTTTGCGGGTTGTTCGGGTTTATGAACACCCCTAGCCATTACCGATGGCCAATAAAACAAGTGTTACTTGTTATCCTCTTTGAAATAGTTGCATCGTTGCAAGTTGGGCATGCTAAATAGCCCTGACCACTCCATCCAGATAAACTACTACGAGCAGGAAAATCATTAACTGTCATGAGCAACATAGCCCGCATCTGAAATGATGTATTCAAAACTGCGTCACGTACAATGACTCGTTTATTCCACAAATCTTTTAGCTCATCCACAAGGGGCCTTAAAAAGACATCCATATCCTTTCTGGGTGCATTTGGGCCAGGAATCAACAATGTCAACATCTGATAAGGATCCTTAGTGCATAACCACGGAGGAAAATTGTAGGCCGTTAAAACCACCAGCCACATACTGTATGAGAGGCTCATGTTCCCGAAAGGATTGAAACCATCAGTGGCCAACCCCAAGCGAACATTTCTTGGTTCACGTAAAAACTCAGGATACTTTTCATCTACCTCCTTCCATTCATTACCATCGACTGGATGATGCATTAAATCCTCATCATTTGAACGTCCACGGTGATGCCACGTCATATCTTTAGCTGTGTGACGAGAACCGTATAGATGCTTCAACTGATTTGTTAACGGGAAATAACGTAGTACTTTCCACGGTACTTGTTTAACTGATAGTCCGAGACACGAAGTGAGAGAGAGATAGAGGTTACCTCCGATTATGAGACGAGACACGAGAGGGGCGGCTGAGAGTCCAAGACTGAAGTCTAAAGGTCGATCTGCGGGGGGGAGTGGTGAGAAGACTGAAGGGCGAAGGCTTGAGGGGAGAGGCCGAGAGGGGGCGGCCGCCGAGAGTTTAGGCCACTTATATAACACTTTTAAATGCATCAACTTCACTAAGAAATTTAAAGACGAATACTTAGTGCAGCCTGGATACAATCCCACCTGGAGCTTAGAAAGTAGATCCTTAAATTCAACGTATTGTGGATCTTCTAGTGGCCTAAAGTAATGCGGTAATGAATTGAATGGGCCGAAGGCCTGCTGGGAGTGGGCAGCCTGAAATTCGGGACTGAGTGATTCCTGGTGTGGGCTGGGCCTGGAACTGGAAGTAATATTAATGGTTGGGCCGAACTGGGGATGTGTTCTGCAGGTTGGGTTGGGGTTGCGGGTTGTTATGAGCCCAACCCACAACCCGCCCCAAACACTTCGGGCCAGAGGTCTAATGGGCCGAAAATTAAAAAATAACGTTGCGGGTTACTTTTTTCAGGTTGGGTTGGGACGGTGCAGGGTGGGTTTGCGGGTTGTTCGGGTTTATGAACACCCCTATTCTCAAAGCTGTGTAATTGTTTGCGGGATATATTTCAAAGTCGTGTCGTTTAATTTGTTTGCCTTGTCCTTTCCTCTTTCTGGTTCTCTTTTCTTCTTTTCCTTCTTCCAGAAAGTTAGAACCCTAGTTATAGACCAGTTAAAAGTGGAAAACGACGACGTTTTAGGCCTGTTTCTGCAGCACTCGCCCAATTCTTCACACAATTTGCTCGCATCTCTGAAAATGCCGATCAAATGGTACAACATTTTCACAATTGTCTCCATTTTCTGATCAATTATTGCTTACGTAACATCTCTAATTCTTCCAATTCCATAATTCTCCAATTTGGGGTTTTTTTTCCTAGGGTTTTGCCCTGGCAGCCCAACGCAGGGACGACGGCGAGCAGCCAAATCGTTAATGAAGTGACGCAGTGCGTCGAGAGCATGAATGGCGTCAAAGATGGCCGGTGGAAAGCCACTCTCACCTTTTACAAGCCTATGCTACGAGGTATGATAATGAATTTCTCAATCAATTTCAAGTGTTAGGGTTTGGGAAAAATCGATTCTTTACTATTCGGTTGGTTCAAATTTTGGGGGCAGATCAGACTCTAGCTTCGGAATTCCCCCGCGATTTTCTGGGGATGTCTCTGCCCGAGCAACCCAGCAAATACTACTTCATAATCCGCGGGCAGCGCTTGGTTCTCGAGGCCGATTCGTCAATTCAGACCATAATGGATAAATTGCAGTCGTACAAAGCCAGAGTCTCGCTTAATTTCGAGGTTTTTCCACGTCGTATTCGATCTTTGCTGCAATTTTTTATTTTTTCGGTGTTGAGACAACCAAGTTGATGAAACAAGTTTTATGAATTTGGTTTTGCTCTTTTTTTTTAATTATTATTATGTTGTTTAGGGCTTTCAATATCAACTTGGGGATTTCCAATTGAGAGTGGGGAAAGTTTCTCCAACTCATTCTGAAGCTTTGAGAGGAATAGTTATGGAGGTACTTCTTTATGGGCTTGCTTCAAAATCTAGATTGGTTGAATTTTATACATTGTTTTGTATATGTTTTCCCTTTCATTGTTTTGGTTGAATTATAATTTTACGTTGTTTGATGTCCTACTTTTTCTTGAAACGTCCTATTTGCATGATTAAATTGTGTTGAGGGCGTAAGCGCAGTCTTCATAAAAACTCCATTGAAGTGATTTTGAAGACTATGCTTAAATTGCGTTTATGTGCTTATTTCTTATTTGAATGAGCTTAAGCTTGAATTATTGGAACCATTGGGACATTGGTGATTTCATTTTGATACTGTCCACAATGCAAAACATGGGAAGGCAATGCCTCTGTGCTTATCCTCATTTTCTTTAAGTGCGTAATGTCAACTTCTAAAGAAGATATTTTTAGGCAACTTGAGTACATACTGTTGCCTTTAGTCCAGCAGATTCAAAGCCCTGATCAACAGTGCCGTTTGACTTCCTGGTGACAAATTAGGCTGCACTTTTTCTGTACTATGAACTTATGAGTTGACCACTAATATGTTATCGGGTTCTGAGAATCATGGCTTTGGCATGGACAAATTGACTTCTCATAGCAACTTAGGAAATTTGATAACGAAGAGTAAAGTTTCATCTAATGTACTGCTTTCCATGCTTTTCATAAACTTAAGATAGACGGAAAAAAAAAATGTTTTCAGCTTGTTCACCTAGTAGCCTTGGTTATTTTCCTGTAAATTTTACTTTTGTGACGTTATGGAAAATTTACATCTTTTGAATTGAAAATACTTTGCTTATCACAGGTTGAGTACCTCCCTATTTCATCAATGGAAAAATCGAGGCAAATGATGGAAGAGTTCCTTGATATATGGCAAGATGCTCTGTCAAAAAGATCATTACCAGGTCACTTCGTGCATCTAGAACCAAATTTTGCTGATTTTGGTCTCGGAGACCTCTATACCTCACAACATACTGCGGTCCAATATGCTACTGTTGTTGCTCAAGTCATATCAACAGTACAAGCTGGGCAAGCAGTTAGAAATTAGGAATTGAATGAAATATATATATATATAACTTGGGGGTGGGGCAATTTAAAGTTACTGTTAAGCTATGTCTGCAACCACGTAAATGCAAAGGATTTCTGTTGTAATTTTCTTGTACGACAGCTTTCTTTTTGCTCTGGGTCATTGTATGCGTAGTTGCGCAACCATAGTTTTGTATTCCTTCTAGAACACATACCCCTGCATGTTCTCCCAAAGAACAAAGGCTTGGACCTTGAATTGTTTTCCATATTGCTAGAAGAATTTATGCGAGAGGTAATCAGTGTGTAACGAGTCGTCAAGTTACAAAGCTAAACTATCCAAAAACAAGATGACAACTCCTTGAGATAAAATTTTCCCAAATTGCATCGACCCCCACAGGAATTCCAAGTATTCTATTTGGCGTCATAAAAAAAAAATTGAAACTTTAATTTGAACGTAGATTTGATATCTCTGCTCATCGTTTCACTTTTTCGTTCTTTTTGGTCAATGAGGCCTGTGTTTCTATCTTTTTTGTGAGAGAAAATAAACCAAACCGCCCTTCAGGATATGTTTAGGTCCCGTTCATTTACCGATTCGAGTTTTGTTATAGTAAAAAATTTTCAGAAACGGTCAAATTTAACTTTTTTGTTACAGTAAAAAGCTCTCACATAAAGTCACATTTCAACTCAAATTAAAAACTCGAATCAACGAACTAAACGGATTCTTAGTTCTCACATTTAAATCAGTGATTTTAATTTATTAGTGGAAACTTTATGAGGGAAAATTTTTTTAAATTCAAGTTCTTTATGAGATGTAAAATATTGTTAGCAATCAGAATTATAGATTCAAGTATATATGCTAAACGGTAGGGGTGTTCGTCGGTTAAAAACCGTCGGTTTTGGTCGGTTCGGTGGCCAAACTAATCATGTCAGTTTTCTGAAAGTTGGAACCGAAACTGAACCGCACCTAACAGTTTTCGATTCGGTTAACCGAAGTTCGGTTTCGGTCGGTTTTCAGTTTTGGTAATCAGGAAGGTTACCTCAGTTAACTATTAGGTTACCAGGATCTTTAGTTGTATTTTTGACCCACAAGTACGAAAAAATGTAAAACTTTCCTTTAATGCAAAGTTGCAAACACGTAATCACAATAAATGAATACAAAGCACAACATCAAAATTGATAATTGCACAAACACAATTTTAAAAAACATTTAAATTGTCATAACTTATAAGTAAAGAAATTAAGAAGTCCAAAGCATAATTAAAAAGTTCAACTTCTCATAAACCTCGGTCGGTTCAGTTTTTAACCGACACTCTACACGCAAAACCGAAACCGAACCGACTTTTTAGGAATTCGGTCGGTTAACCGAACCGATTGTGTTCGGTTCCACATGGCACTGTCGTTTTCGGTTTTGAGCGGTCGGTTCTTCTGTCGGTTTCGGTTTTATGGTTTTTTTGTACAGTCCTACTAAACGGACCTAAAATGTTTATTGCACCTTACTACCTTAACTCTTTATAATTTGATAAATTTTCTTTTCCCTTTTTTTGTAATTAACCTTCAAATTTTTAAATTTAAATATTTTATGAGATGAAAAATACTGTAGTAATCAAAATCATAAATTCAAGTATATGTTCGGACCTAAAATGTTTGTTGCACCTTACTACTTAATTCTTTATAATTTGATAAACTTTCTTCTTCTTTTTTGTAATTAACCTTTTAAGCTTGTTTAAACCATTATAATGTGGTAAAATTTCAAAATACTATTTAAAAATTGATGATAGGTTTGTTCATGTATGTTATTGGCACGTTACTCCTTAAACCTTACATTGGCAAATTGCCCATAAATTATAATTTTAGTAATTAGCTCTCTTTTGTCATCAATTTGAACCGGTTTAACTAATTTAAATGATTACTTTTCAGAAAAAAAAAGTTTAAACTATTACTTAGCAATATCAAAATTTTGAGGACAATTTTTCAAAGCACGAAAAATTTAGAGGATATAATTTCAATAACCCAAATGCTTAACCAATCTAATGCAAATTTAATCGTTTATCTTATTTTTTATGCATAGAAAAGGGAGAGATAATTAGCAGATTTTAACTATTTAAAGTAAATAAAAAATTTACTCATTTTACGAGTCCTAAATAAATTAACGAGATAATTTTTTTTTTCTATTGCTATATACTTTAAATAGTTTAAAACATAGAATAGAAGACAAATACTTCATTAAGTTACAGTCTTGATTTTTTTACTAATATTTTTTTAATCAAATATTATATTAGTCAAAATGATATTAATTAATAATAAATAGTAAAAACTGAAGTTTAGGGCCCGTTTAGTTCACTGATTCGAGTTTTTAATTCGAATTAAGATGTGATTTTATGTGAGTTTTTTACTGTAATAAAAAAATTAAATGTGAATGTTTCTAAAAATTTTTTATTATAAAAAAACTTAAATCAGTAAAATAAATCAGGTCTTAGTAATTTTATCATTTACTTAATTTAGTCTATAAGTTTTGTAATCTGTGAAAAACTTAAAAAATAAAAATAAAAATAAAGACTAGTAGACAACTAGTTATATGTTATTGGGCCTCGTTTACTACGTGAATTCGAGTTTTCAATTCGAGTTGAGATGTGATATTTTTAGAGAATTTTTTACTATAATAAAAAAAAATAAATGTGATATTTTTGAGAGTTTTTTATTGTAAAACCTTAAAACTGAAAATTTAAATACAAAGGAGGCCTTCTGCACGTTGTGCATACACACTTGTATATATATTCACGAGTCATACTCATACGCCGCACATTGGCGGCGGCGGGTACTTAAACAGCGTCTAAGGCAAAGTTCCGGGGATTAACGGACGCTCGCGAATCCTCAATCATTTCTTAATTCCCTTTTGAAAAACCGAACTTCAATTCGCCAGTGTCGTTTGGGACGAGCACCAGCTTAGGCTTTGTACTTGGTACGTACTACTTTTTCCTCCGCCAACTCCCTTCTCTTCATGTGCTTCGATATTCACATCTATAGCTACACGCAATTAATTTTTCTTTTCTTTTTCACTTTAACCCTTTTGCGTTTGATTTGATTAGATCCTCTTGTGATTTTGTTTTGTTCTTCAATACCCATGTCTTTGTTTTGGGTTCTTCAAAAAATTTCCAATTTTTTATTTTTATGTGTCTCGGTTGAGAAAGAAAGGATTTGTTGTTAAATCATTGAATTACGTTGGAAAAGAATTGTATCTGTAACAAAGTTGCAATGTCACTCCTCACTTTGAAAGGAAGTTTGATTTGAGGGTCAATTTGCTCAGCTTTTTTTTTTTTTTTTTTTTGGTGTAATCTTACATTGAGATACACATTTCCGTTCTGTGTCTTTATTCTTTCTGTGAAGCATCAATATGATATGTTAGTTCCCAAAAATCCAAATGGGGTGAACAAAAGCTTGTAGAAAATATGTTGCAAAGTCTCATATAGGTCTGTGGAGATTGATATGACATCTGTGGTCTTGAACTTTTTGAATGATATTGGTGATACTTCTGCTTGAGTAATTAGTGTGCTGTATATAGATTGCCATCTACAAAACCCAGTTGCAAATAATTAAAACTCGGTTTTTATTGCAAGTTTTATCTCACTCTTGCATAATGATAGACTTTCTCTATTGACTCTTGTAGTATGTGACACTTGAGAAAGAATTCCAATGAAGAACATACTTTGTACTGACTTGGCAGAGTTTGATGACTGATTTAGTACTCACTGGAGTTATAGCTTTTCAGTCTTATCACGTCCTTTACAAGTGTTATTAATCTAAGAGACCTGGGTTTAAAAAATTTTATTTTCATTCCTTCTTGTTTGAAGATTATCATCCCAATCCCATGGATCCAGCAACTCTCAAGAGCGAACCTGATGCCCCCCGGAAGGTTTGTTTAATACCCTTCCTTTATACTTGAAAAATAACATTTTATTCTGCCTATTTAGGCTTTTTTCTTTTCTGAGAGTTTTCTTTGATTGCTGCAGAGGAGATTCATGCCAAAAGCTCCCCCTAGCCGGGTACCAAAGGCTGAAGTAAAAGCGTAATTATCCCACTTTGCTGAAGCACCTACGCAACATGTTTTTTCATGTCTTATATTTTATTCTAAGTCATTTCTTTTGGCAGTGAAGTAGTTGAAGAAACTGATGCGGACCAGGCCAGGGTTTTGTTGAGACGCTTCAATGTAATACTCTTTCTTATAAATTCTGTTTACTGCCTATAATTTTTTATGTTTAATGTTTTGGCTATGAAATTTTCATGTTTGAATGTGTAATACTAATCTTGGCTTCTTTCATAGGAAGGTTCAACAAGGGCGAAGCCAAAAGTCGAGAAGAAAGGTAGTCTTTCTTTAACTCATCGTGCTTTGCCATGATTTGCTGTGCCTTTTAGAATTCCTAATTAATCCAGTTTAAATTTCTAAATCTCAGTGGCAGCTGCGCAAGTTGCATTTGGTTATGGCGGTGCATCAAACACCATAAGATCATATGGTGTTCCTAAGGGTGGTTATAGGAACTCTCAAGGTCCACCTGCTACCCGTATGCTATTTACAAGTGCTGCTTTTCTATCAACTGTGAACAAGTCGTTTCCAATGCATGACATTAAAAATCATGTTCTTACAGATGGAGCATTTCCTTCGGGCACACGACAGGAGAAAGAATACAAAGAACCATGGGTGTGTTACATTACAACCGTCCATGGTGTCTACTGTCCCCTTTTGAACTGTTCTCTAATCTCCCCTTATCTAAGCTATGGTTTCTTTTGGATGCTACTGCAGGATTATTACAGTTATTACCCTTCAACTCTTCCTTTTAGGAGACCCCATTCTGGAAATCCAGGTATGTCCTGAGGGATATAAACAGTATTGGATACTCTTGGAGAAAGAAACTTAAAAGGCATCATTCAACTTGACCAGTTGCTAATTCAATTTGCATGATTACAAAGTTCAAAATTCATGTCATGCTATGTTGCGGCCTTTTCGGTTGTTGAAGGTTTTCTCCAACTTTGTTGAACTCTTGTAGAATTTCTTGATGAGGAGGAGTTTGGGGCAGACACAGAAACTATAAACTATGACGAAACTTCCGCAAAAGCAGCTACAGAACTTGGTCTAGTGGTCGGTAACTTGACATCAATGGTGAAATGTTACATTTATGCAATGCTTTGAAAACAGTTGTGATGTTTTTGTTTGCAGGAGGAGAATCCCGAAACCAGTATGATCTTGCTTCAGCTACCTCCAATTATGCCGTTGATGAAACGATCAGCTAACACTGCAGCTGGACAAGAGGCAACCAAAAGCTCACCCGCACCTGTGGTTGCACAGGCCACGCACAAGGCGTGTGCTTTGCACGAGTTACCAGCAGGCTTCATGGGGAAAATGCTCGTGTACAGGAGTGGTGCCATCAAGCTGAAGATCGGAGATACCCTTTATGATGTGAGTTGAGTTTGCAACAAAACCTTATAGCTTAGTTTAAGCGAAAGTATCATCTTCTTATCTTAACTTTTAAGGTAAAGTTACGAACTCTATTTAATGGGTGCAGGTGTCCTCAGGTATGGATTGTGTTTTTTCACAAGATGTTGTGGCTATTAACACTGTGGAGAAACACTGTTGTGCTGTTGGGGAGCTCAAAAAGCGAGCCGCTATAACCCCTGATGTAGACTTCATTTTGCAGAGTATGGCTGATTTATGATTGTTTCTGCTCTTTCCCCCACACAGAATTTTGCCTTATAGATTATTCAAACTGATGTGTGTTTTTTGTATGAAAATTATAGATGTTCTTGAATTCTCTTTCTTAGGCTTCTATTTGTTAAAAACAGAGAAGAAAGATGAAGAAGTTCCGATCTAGAGATTAAATATCATTTTACAGATGTTGTGTACTACTAGTGTGTTGGAACTCATTTGAAATAAATCTGCCCCAAGAATTTCTCTCTTATCCAATATTTTTGCTTCATTTATTTATGTTCTTTCTGACAGAACTGTGTTTGCTTCTGTATCCATCTATTTGTTTACTTCTGAATACCAAACTTTACGAAAGATATTGACTTAAATATAACAGCAACTGTAGGAATCAAAGAAGCTGAAAAGAGTAAAAAAAACACTCTAGAAACGACAATGAATAGGAGAACATCGACCAAAGAAACAGCGATAACTCCACTGATGTCTACCAAAAAGAAAAAAAAAAAAAGGAAAAACAATGTCTACATTAATGGACATACTCAAAACAGCGTTTATTTATCTCCAGCAACGGCATCATTTGAAAAGCGACAATTAATTCTGTAAACGACATCAATGACTAACAACAGAGAAACCATAACTTCGAATAAAAAGAACATGATCTGGAGAGAAAAGTGAGGACCAACTTTGATAAAACGAGGAGATATCAGAAGAACGTCAATGATGAAATCATAAAAACGACAACAGAAGAAAGACAATAAATAGAGAACGACGTCAACTGTAGAAACTATAATAACTTTACAAAACGACTGGCATGAACGAAAACATCAATTACAAAGACGACAATAATTTACAGAAACGATATGTATGGAAAAACAACATATAACGGCTACTTATATAAGCGACACTAAAATAAACTACGACTTCCAGAAGAAGGAAGAAAATTGTAAGTGACATGATTTTTTCTCAGCTTAAGTCACAACTTAAATTCTATTGCTATAGTATTTTCTTTAACAAAAATTCAAATTTTATTTTTTTACTACAATATTTTTCTCTCACAAATACAACTCAAATTCTTAACTTAAATGGTAAAACAAACACCCAACACAACTTTAATAAACTACAAACCGAAGATACAAGAATAACTGTGATTGTTTAACGTTAATGAATAACGTTAAGCAACCAAAACCCCTGAAAAAACGACAATGAAAAAAGGCATCAACTAGAGCAATTATATTAGCTTTTCGAAAAAAATCAATAATTTAAGGAACAAAAGACAGCACGCAAAACGACATACATAAGAAACGACATTTTATTTATACACGCCAACAAAACTGACGATATCATCAGAAGATGCGACAAGTAACAGAGACACGAAAACTATTGAAATCATAATGGCTTTACGAAACACGGACATGAAAAGACAATCAATTCACCAGGCGACAATGATTTTAATAAAATAAATAAACTGAAGATACGACAATAATATTAAATACGACAACCTACAGAAACGGCAAAGAACATAAGGAACGATATGAACTACAGAAACGATAACAAGTAAACTTCAGAAAACGACAGACCTAAAAACATCAATTTTTAGTTCTAAGAAACGACATTCAGAAGGACGTTTGATTGAAAACCAACATCAATTGTGCAAGCGGCGACAGCATAGAAAAGCAAGATAAATTTGAAAAACAATTAGATCCTAAAAATATGAATCTCTTTGTAAAAAGACAATAACTAAAATAATAAGAGAAGATTATTGAAAAACAATTAGATCCTAAAAATATACATTGTTTGTAAAAAGACGATAACTTAAATAACAAGACAAGAGTTCATCGTATATAAAAAAAAAAAGAAAAAAAAAAGAAAAAAGACAAGATTTCATCGTCATAAGAAACAACATTGACTGTAGAAAACGACATTTAAAACAACATTGACTGTAGAAACGAAATTAGACAACCGGTATAAATATTTATTGCCTCAAATCTGAAAAATATTTATTGCCTTACCTTATGGACCTATGATGATGATTCAAAACCACCTTATTTCCACTCATAAAACGCTTAAAACATGAAAATTTTAGCTGCAAGCTTAGAGTTGATGCAGAATGATTTGAGCTCCATGTTGTGGTTGAAGAGTCATGACAGTGTAAGGAGCATGAGCATAGGAAGGAGAGAGTTCCAATGAGAAATGTTGCAGAATCATAGCCAATGCAAATTTTGCTTCTAACATGGCAAGGCTTTGGCCAATGCAGGTCCTTGGGCCCCACCCAAATGGGAAGAATGCAAGCTGGTCCTTACATGCCTTCGCAACCCCTTCTGAGAATCTATCAGGTTTGAACTCTTCTGCATCATCACCCCAAAGTTCTTGATCATGATGAATCAATAGTGTAGGCAGATTAAGATCAACCCCAGCTGGGATCGTAATGTGCCCAACTTTAGTTTCCTTGTAAGCATGTTGGTAAAGAGCAATCACAGGTGGGTATAATCTCAAAACTTCATTGAGTATCATTGTTACCTGCGGATAGTGATTTTTCAGAAGTTATTCTTTTCATTTTTTTATATCTCGTATTTTGAGGTTATATACAAATGATGTGTTGTGTTTATATACCTTCAGATTTCAAATTTATGCTCAATTCTTACACTTTCCCACTCAACGGTCGACTTTGACAACAAAAAGACAAAAAATCCCCTAAAGAATATATATATATATATATATATATATATGATGTGGAAGACATTTTAGTCTTTTCATAGTCAAAATCAACCTTTGACCGAAAAAGGGTAAGGATTTAACGTGAATTTGAAATGTTGGGTAAAAATGAAAAAACAACCCATGTTTTAACATCATATTTGATGAGGGTATTGCAAATAAGTTACATGTTTTAAGATAATCTATACTCACAATTTTGAGGTGGCTTATAGCTTCAAAGTTGGGCTGTTTCTTTCCACAAAGTTCTAGGACTTCTTGCCTTGCCTTCTCTTGCCATTCTGTGTGGATAGCTAAGATGATCATAATCCATGTTAACCAGGTTGAAGTTGTTTCTTGGCCAGCAAGGTAGAATTGTTTGCATTCCTCTATCACCTCTTCAACAGTCATTCCATCGCTTTTATTGCCTCTTGCATGTTCTGATAAATTATTCTGGTTGTTAGATTGCAGAAGCAGGCCTAGCAGGTCATCAACCTTGGATTGCCCCGTTTTCATCGAGTTCGTTTTGTTCTCGATTATTTTTCTCAGCAATGAGGTGATCTCTTTGTCCAACTTCTTTCTCCTCCTATTCTTTCTTGTTGGAACAAACCTATACACGAAAATTCAACAAAGAATAATCGGAAAAAAAAAAAAAAGCTAATTAGTTCCATGCCTCTCTGTTTTTTCTTCCTATTTTCATGTATACAGAAAGGCCGAAGAAAAATATGGATTGTAATCGAAAAAGTTTTTTTTTCAATGGGGCACTGTAAGAAAGAATTAAAGATATTTATTAAATGGGGACATAGTTATTTGTTTCGATTATTAAGTGGGAGCAGAATTATAAATTTCTTATAAAACAAGGTGTAACAATATATTTCCATTATTTCAATGGGGACACAATTATAATCTTTCTTGCAAAATAAAAGAGCATCTAAAATTTTTTGAAAAAGAAACTATAGGGAAAGTCATAATTTCAAATTTTGAGTGAGGCACGTGCCCCCTTAATATAAAGTGGCTTCACTACTGATTGTTCTTTTTATAAATGGGTGAAAAAACACACTAGCGTTTGCATCAACTAAATAGGGTCTGTTTAGTTCGCTAATTCAAATTTTTAATTTGAGTTGAGATGTTACTTTGGTCCCGTTCACTTCACCGATTCGAGTTTAAAATTTAAGTTTTGCTACAGTAAAAAGTTCTCATAAACAGTCACATCTAACTTTTTTGTTACAGTAAAAAGCTCTCACATAAAATCACATTTCAACTCGAATTAGCGAAGTGAACGGGGCATTTATGTGAGAGCTTTTTTCTGTAACAAAAGAGTTAGATGTTACTGTTTTTAAGAGTTTTTTACTGTAATAAAACTCGAATCGGTAAATGAACAGGGCCGAAAACATTGCACCTGAATCCAGGAATGTACAAGTTCTGCATTGCTTCAAGGGTTAGCTTTATTAGCTCCTTTTGAAGTTCAAAGATCTTCTTCCCTTCTTCATAGCTGCTCCCAAATGCTACTCTTGAAATGACATCTGCTGACGTTCTTGAAGTTCGATCCACATATCTACTTCGCAAGTTCCTTCCACATTGACCATCTTCTTCCATTGTTCTATCATCTTGCCACAACTGAATGTAAATGCTGGTACCATTTCCTACAAAAGCAAATACAAAGTTAAGGTACTAAATAAAGAGTTATCAGTTTATTAAGCTCAAGAGCATTTTTCAGATAAGTTAGTATCAAGAAATTCATCATGGAACCTTCAATCTTTCCAAGTTGAAAGCAGGGTTTATTATCCTCCTGTGCCTGGCCCAATCTTCGCCGTGTAAAATTGTTAGTCCCGATCTGTTTAGAAAGCGAATAGAAGGGTTTATAGGAGGTTTGCCAAAGTGTCCAAGCTTGTTGGAGAGAATCTGCTTGATCAGCTCCGGATCCTTGATGATCAGCCTTGGTGTTTTCCCCATCCAACACATTGATATGTTCCCTATGCAAATACAAGTAATTAGCTTTCTAATTTCCACAAACAAGATTACTCTTTGCTATATAAAAATGTACCTACACGTTTTGTCTTTCTAGTACTGATGTACAGATTATGAGATGTGAATAATCTTTTTGAAAACTACAATATATCTGAAAAATTGAAGGAAAAAAAAAAAAGATGCACTGCATCGTGTAGTCAAATCTCAACCGCTAGTTTGTTGACAAAAATAAAAATGATCTTGGTTATTAAAGAATTTCAATGATTTAGATCGTTTCTTTTCATCATTCAAGAACTGAAATTGGTTTGCAAGATACATCTAAAAAAAGAGGAATGTAATGAAACTTTTTCTCAAAATTTTTAGGGGTTGTTCTTTTACAACGAAACTCAGAAAAAATTTAAACTCGAATTACAATTTTATTCAAATTCATATTTTTTTATAAAATTTGAGTTTAAACTCGAGTTTAGAGCTAAACTCGAGTTCAAGTTTCTCCTTCAACTCAAGTTTATAAACTTAAACTCGAGTTAATGAATAGTATTTTTTCTATTCTTAAAAATGTCATAACTTTTTCATTTTAATTATGATTGAGATGATTTTTTTTCTATGCATTCACAACGAAAAGACGAATAAAACCTCACCCATATACCCTATTAAAATTTTTCATCACCATTGAGTTTTTATTAAAATACTACTAAATATAAATTTAAGTTTTGACCCACCCAAACACAAACTTAAATAGATTCTTAATTCAAATCATAACTCAAATGTGCACTTTCAAACACAAACTCAAGTTACAACTTCAACTCAAGTTATAACTCAAACTCAACTCAAGATCATCACTCAAATCACCCTAACTCAAAAATGTGAAAAAACAATCCCTTAGATATTGGGGTTGTTCTTTTGCAACGAAACTCAGAAAAAGTTTAAATTCAAGTTACAAATTTATTCAAGTTCATATTCTTTTGTAAAATTTGAGTTTAAACTCAAGTTTAAGTTTTCCCTTCAACTCAAGTTCATAAACTCGAACTCAAGTTAATGAATAATATTTTTTTCTATTCTTAAAAATGTCATAACTTTTTCGTTTTAATTGTGATTGAGATGATTTTTTTTTCTATGCACTCACAACAAAAAGACGAATAAAACACCACACATATACTCTATTAAAATTTTTCATCACCATTAAGTTTTTATTAAAATACTATCTAAATACAAATTTAAGTTTTAACACACCCAAACACAAACTCAAATAGGTTCTCAATTCAAATCGTAACTCAAATGTGTACATCTAAACACAAACTTAAGTTACTACTATTTCAACTCAAATTATAACTCAAACTCAACTTAAGATCATCACTCAAATCACCTTAACTCAAAAATGTAAAAGAACAATCCCGTAACTTAACGTACATGAATAATAAGCCAAATCAAAATTAGGAGGTAGTACAAAGTTGTGCTTACCATATTTTCGCACTGTAGTTAGAGTGAACGGATCAACACGTGGAACGATCTGGTGGGTTAAGCTAAGTGGCTTTGACCATGCCTCAGTTATCAGCCTCACAAACTCTTTCATGTCCCCAACCAGTGGCTTGTAGGGGGTGCCCCTTATTCCTTGTTGCTTTAAGTTCCTCTCTAGCCATTTTGGTCTCAACCAAATGGTATAGGACGCTTTGGCAACACGATAGAGTAGCACAAAGAGTGAAGAGATTGCCAATAAATTTAGCACATAGATTTCCATACTTTATACTCTTTAGGAGTTTCAGTTTTTTTCTGTGTGTGTGTGTTTGGTTGCTAGGAAAATCCAGAGTTTGAGCAATATATATGGATCACTTTTATGACATGCTCCATATCGATGTACTTGCGTTTCAAGTTTTCAGTCAAATTCTTATCAACTAGAGCTTTCTATTTTTTTTTCTTTCCCCAAGTCGATATGGATTAAAACCTTGTAAGTTATCCGTTTTATTAAATTGTTGTGTTTTTCGTGACTTTGACCAAGCTATTCTTGGATGAAAAGAAATGACCAAGAAAAGCCAAAATCCTAACGAAATGCTTTTGAAGGTGTGGACAAAATTTGTGGTTGGCGTAAGGATAAAGATTTAGCCCAAAGTAAAGAACAAAAAATGGAGATGTAAAGATGAACATGATCTCTAGCCGACCGTGAAAAAAAGGAAAAATAGAGAAAATTATACATGAGTCTTAATTTTTATCTTTTATTTTTTATTAATATTTTTTTAACGAATATAGTTATTTAACTCCAAAGATATATATGTCAAAAATAAAGAGTAAAATTTTATATTCATATACTAGTGGATATTTGTCTCCTTTTCTCAAAAGAATATACGTGGAGAATAGAACTGTAAATTTAAACTAGGCTAGACGTATGATTTATGGATTAGAATCATAAAATTAGAATTATTTTTTATTTACGTGTATTTTTTATGAGAAAAAATACTATAACAAACCATGAACTATGATTCGAATCGAGATACGAATTTTCTAACTAAACAACCCTTAAATGAGCCGGCTTGAAATGCGCCACTATTGCTCTGGGCACGGCCCAACCCAAACTTTCAGGCTGGATTGGGCGGAGGTCCTAAACCCAAAATCTTATTCAAACTGAACCGACCTGAACACTCTTTGTAATTTCTTTAAACTACCTTATAAAATTTTGAGTCAAACTAAGTCAATCTTCTCTTTTTAGAGTCGGCTCGGTCTGGCTTAGGGCCGGAGAACACGCCCCATATCAATATATAAATATATATATATATATATAGACACATAAGCGGCGGTCTGATTAAAAAATTCAAAGTTATAGAAAAACATTTTATTTTCAGTTAATTAAATATTAACTGTTTTCAATAAAGCTGAAAAGGAAAAAGGTGTGTAAATTGTTTTCAATATATGGATCATGGGCTGAAATTTGCGGGTCTTAGTCATGGGAGAAATCTGGGCGGGGTACATTACAATTTCAACCAAACCCATTTTAGAAACTCTCTTGAACAGCTGATACATAGTCTCGTTCATTTTACCGATTTGATTTTTTAGTTTTAAATTTTTATAGTAAAAAATTCTCAGAAAATGTAACATCTAACTTTTTCTGTTACAGTGAAAAATTCTCAAAAAATATCATATCTCAACTCGAATTGAAAACTCGAATCCGTGAAATGAACGATGCTAGTAATGCAAATTTCAAGTCCCCGTGGGTGCCCGTAGAGGGGTATTTTCTGAGGAATGGGAAATGACACATAAATTTACTTGAATTTAGGAGTTGGCCTGCATTGTTTAGGCTTTGAAAAGTATTCGTGCCTTTCCGTTGAGTGTACCCACAGATTTGTTAGGAGCACCTCCATAAGAGAACCAAACAAGTAGTACATAGGCTGCAGGATTCTCAAAATTGATTACGTACGTATATTTATTAATGGACACAGGACCTTCTTTAGCAGGTCTGCCGTAAGATTAGTTTTTGATTTAAATTCCAACTAAAATCACATTAAATTAAAAAAAATATACAGAATAAATAATTTTTAGTAAAGATTTAACTGCTAAAATGTAGAGAATTGCTGTAATATTCTGGCATGGAATCCCTTTGCTACATTCCAGATTCTCTGCCACCTCAGACGATGATGTCCCTCTTATGTTCTTGAAGTGTATATCACTCAACTTCACTCTTGATGGTGCCTGCACATTGTTATCAAAAATCCGATTTAACCATTGACATATATTTACCATTCTATAACATTTATATATATATATGTATATAGTTGTATAATAGTATCAGACTATGACTAAATTTCTTATTGTCACAAATTTCGAACGCTAGTACGTTGAATAAATGTCGTAGTATGTTTCTCACTTCGATATGTTATGTGGAAAGCAAAGCCTACACACATATATCTATGTGCGTGTGTGTGTTAAAAAAAGAGAAAACCAGCAAATGGTGGTAAACATCAGATCAATTATCTGCAGGTGTTACCTTGGAAGAACAAGATAAAGATGGACAATATGACTGATCAATTTAACTGAGGGTGTGGCTGCTGTAGTTCTCTTCTGTACACACCTCTCAAATGGTTGGAATAAAGGACGTTGCTTAATTTTTTGAAGTAACAGAAAAATAATATGTACTTTTTGCAGATTGCTATTATGTATATGCCCAACTCGGAAGACCAGGACCACAGAACTTGTGAATTTTGAGTGTCCTCGTATCCATAGTTAACTGAAGTTGATATTTCTAATTTATGAACTACTTTTCCTCCATAAGTAAGTACACATACGAGAGTATATAAGTAAAACCCTAGGAGAAGGGAATCATATATATATATATATATATGTCTATATATATGAGCTTTACCTAGCTTTTTGGTTTGGAAATTGAAGATGCAAGGCTTGGGAAAATCTTAATTAAGTAGGGAACATTAAAATTCATGGCGATAATTAGTTGGTTTCCTTTTCCTCTTTTTTTTTTTTTTTTAAACAAAATAATTCGTTGTTTTCTGTGTAATTGTGTGTGAGTAATGACTATATAAGTACTCCAGTACTGTGGTAACTGAAGATTCGTGATTGTAAAATGTTCATACCCACAAAAAAAAAAAAAAAAAAAAAGAACACTACTCTATAAGTAGAAGTTAATAGCTCTCGTTTCTGAAGTAAATTAGTGCAAAGAAAAGTAAAAGGATAAGTACCTTTCCCCATTATTTTTTCCCCGTTCCAATTAAAACTTTCCTGTATTTTCCACATATATTTCGCAGTCCTAATGTAAAGAGTGCCATCTTCATTGAGCTTGGTAATTTTCACCTAATACACTAATCTATTTAAAGACAGTCGACATTTATAACATGAATTTTAGTCCTCATGAATTTTTTCCCTACCTCTTTGACAAAGCTAACTGCTAGCTCCAATAGTAAAAGGAGTTTACTTAATTAAGGTCTCAATATGCAATAAATAATTAGAGATTTCTTAGAAAAATACACTTCTATATTTCAAGCATTAAATATGTATAATAAATTATCTATTCTGCATCCTTTTTCATTCTCCAATTCTCTTTCATTTGAGAAAAATTGCGTGTTGTTAGCATAAATATATCATTTTCTTTCGTCCACGAAACAAAGTAATTTTCAGGTAAATGCCAAAATGCTTTCTTTGTTTACGTTTTGTATTTTTCTTTTCTTTTTTTTTTTTTTTTGAAACGTGGAAATTGAGTGTTTAAGGAGACGAATAACGACGGACACGCTATAACTATATATGTGGAGATCATTGATGCTACAGGAAATCTTTTACTTAAAAAAAAAAAATGGTTACTTGAGGAATTTATTTGGCTTTAAAAAACAAACTATAAGCAAAACAAATTAGAGCAATGTATAAAAGAAAGGAAATTTTTCCTTAATTAAGTACATATGGCTCTCATCAATTAATTTATTTGTTCAAGTTTTTTTCCCAGACAGCCTAGTAGTAATATTTAGACAGTAGCTGAAGCACAATAACTACAGAAGTTCAGAACATGACTGACAATTAATATTTTCACGTAATTAGATATATATCTAACGAATCTAGTACTGCAACAACTAACATAATAACAATTAAGTTCAACTAATAATTAATCAGTCAACCAGTTTTCTTCATCGCCATCGAAGAGTACTGAACTGAAATATTCGAATTCGAGGCCCGCATTTAGCGCCCGAACATCGCTCCGATCTTGCACCAACATTTCCTCGGAGAATAGTAGATCACTAAGATCAGTACTACTACTACTTTGGACGTCCCCATAATTAGTACTGTTATAGTACTCGGGAAGAAAATCCGAAACCTGATAATCTGAATTCAGAATATCCGCAAGGCAAAGCTCATCGTCGACGGCGGCAGCGGCGGGGTTGAGATTCACGGCGAAATCTGCGGCGGCCGAAATGTTGTTTTGATCATCTTGACCGATATCTGAAGTAGGGTTACTAGTACCAGCTGCAAGGACTGGTTTCTCGCAATTTGAAATGTCGTAATCGCCCTTTAAATTATATGGCGATGTAGACTCTTTGTCTGCATGCAGGTCACGGCCGTGGCCAATTCTGTGCGGCTGCGGGTGGTTGAGAATGACTCTGGTGCACTTGGCGGCTTTGGTCCGGACCACTTGCGTCGCCGTAGCCGTCTTATTGGACGGTGATGCCGAGCCGCCACTCGACGACGGGTCATTGGTCAGTTTTGTAAATTTACGTGAGGGGTGGTACTGCTTCTTGTTTCCAGTGGAATTAGTGGTGTTTTGTTGGTGGTGACGATCAAGCTGGACTTTTTTGCCTAAATTGGTGTTCCAGTAATTCTTTATTTCATTGTCTGTTCGTCCTGGAAGTCTTCCCGCTATTAGCGACCATCTGAAATATTTTAAACAAAAAAGATTAAAACTAACACTAATTAAACTGTGAAAAACTCATATCAATTTTTGTATACATGTATTAAATTGTAGAATTATATACCTGTTGCCCAAAAGCTTGTGAAGCCTAATTATAAGTTCTTCTTCGTCGGGCGAAATGTTACCTCTCTTGATATTTGGTCTTAGATAGTTCAACCAACGAAGTCTGCAACTTTTCCCACATCTTTTTAAACCTGCAATTCGTTGAAGTTCAACAATACATACATGTAATTTTCATATAGGAAAATAAAAACCCACAATATTATTAATATAATATCACAAATTGAACCATTTTTTTTTTTTATCATAATTACCTGCTTTTTGGGGGAGGTTTCTCCATCGGCCTTCGCCGTGGGTTTTGATATAATCGATGAGGATTTTGTCTTCAACGGCAGTCCAAGCGCCTCTGTTCAAGCCCTCCTTAGAGCAACAAGGGTTTCTTCCCATTTCCCCAGAATGCTCAATGCTCTCTCTTGTGGTTTGAAAAGTGGCCGAAGAGAGATTTTCTTAAATTTGGAATTTTGGAGGGTACTTTGAGTTCTTTGATTGATTCTCCAAACGACACGAGTGATAGTTATATATAGTTGCATCTTATCCTACTAATGTTGATTTTATCATTCATTGAGAAACTAGCATTTTCGTAATATGTTGTTTTCAATGTTAAATAAAGCTTTTTTATTAAGTCATTATTACAAAGAGCTAACATCATATTGATATTTCCTTGTTATGATAATTATTACAAAAAATATACATATATATTTTACAAAAGATAATTGTATTTCAAATTGAGGAGATATACATACTAATTTGACTCGAATGACCTCATAACAAAGGAAATTTAGCCCTAACTAAAAACTGATTTTACTAGTAAATTCTAATGAAACACACAAATAGATAAAACTTGCACTAAATTCCCATAACACAAGCCGAAAAGGTGCGCCAATAATATTTGAGCACACATAAAGCTTTTTCAACCACTCCTATATGTCGATGGAAAACTGCAACTGATCAATACGAAACAATCTATAGCACAATGGTGTCACTCAAGAACCTTTTTAACGTTCCTCAAATAAAAAAAATAAAACTTTTTAACGGGCAAGACTCACAACCAAAACTAAAGAGTGTGACGGCCCCCTTATTATAGACAAAAAAAAAAAAAAAATACAACATAAAACAATGCTTTTATTTTAGACAAATATGTATCACTAAGTAGATCGCAAAGCCCGAACATAAAAAGAGCCACATGAGTCGATCCGACAATCGCGAGTAGAGAGGCTAGGGAACGCAATGTGCATAGTTGCCAGAAACAACATAGATGGAGGCCAAGATTCTGGATAGAAGTTTTTTTTTTTTTTTTTTTTTTAATGAAAGGCTTAAAATAAGAATTATTAGAGATAATTGAGTAAATAAAAAAATTAAAACAAATATTTGAGAAAAACTAAATTTTTCTTAAGGAATATTTGGTTGTATAACGTTTTAATGGTAAAATTGTTATTGTCTCCAAAGTTTAGTGGCTGAAATTGTGTTTTACCGTGTTAAGGGAGTTGTGATTACTTTTAAAATATCATGTCATTGTAATTAAAGGTAGAGAAGACCTTTAGGTGTTGTGTAGATTTTTTAAAATTCTAATTCAAAATCAATCAAATATAAAACAAAAAATTAAATAAACGAACAGATGTTTTTGATGAAATCTAATTAAATCTAACTAAAAAATCAACTAAATTTAGAGTATTCCTAGATTTCCAACCACAAAATTTCGGTATTAATTATTATTCATTTACTTATGTCTTTCTCCTTTATCGACTTTCACATATTATGATATGCTTCTGTCGCATGTAGTCTAAATATTTTTGCAAATTAAAATACAAATATAGGGACGGCTTTGCTAAACTACATTTATTGCACTCTTTTTTATTTATTTATTTATTTATTTTAAAACTTTGGGTGGGAAATTTAACTCTACATCTAAAAGTGGAATCATGTACGTATTTATTGCTAAATTACGTTTACAACCATCTTATTACACTCTTTTATGTATGTGATTTAGTCAAAGCATCTACATTTCCTTATTTAGGACCATTTCTCCTATGTTTTTAAGAATATATTTCAGTTTGCAATTGTTGAATTGGTTATACCTCATCACTTACACACACACATACTACAGTACATCTAAGAAAATCAGTGTATTGGGGTCTTTAGTAGACACTAATGGCATACAATTAATTACTACCTAATCGGATCAGGAGGCCAAATCAAAGAAATTAGTAGCTGCAGTCACTCCAGGGGCTAAATTTTTATATATCTAGTAGACACAAGTTCATGTGAAAACTAAGAAATGTTGTAGAAGAAAATAGAAACATAAACAATTTTGTGAGCAATAATGCAAAGCAGCTGTCTCTTCTTGCAAAATGTGACAAAAGTTATGGGAAAGAAGAGATATGCTATAATTGGTATTAGTGCTTCTAGAATGCACCTAATGTTAAACATATATATGAGATCAACTTCATGCAATATGCCAATAATGCTCTCCAACTTTCGAACTAATTTTGGAATTAAATAATTGGAGTACTACACTGTCAAAAAGGTGCATACAAAGAGCTTTAGATCCCGTTCATTTCACCGATTCGAGTTTATAATTTGAGTTTTGTTACAGTAAAAAAAACTCTCATAAACAGTCATATTTAACTTTTTTACTACAGTAAAAAAACTCACATAAAATCACATCTCAACTCAAATTAAAAACTCGAATCAACGAACTAAACGGGCCTTAACCGCCTAAGCTGTGATGGCATGCTACTGGAGTGAATATATAGAAGTCTGGCTTAAAGTTTGCAAATTAATGACCATATAGCTTTCCTAGCTAGCTTTCTAGCATAAAGCTACCCAAAAAATGAATAAATAAAAAGACTTACAAAATTTCAACTGCTGCACCCAGAAATTGAAATTACTATTTGTATTGTTGTAATTTAATTACTCAACTCTTTTATTATGAAAAAAACGAAGAAAGATACAAATTATAAAGTATTTGACTGCTGAAAGTGGTTAATAGACGGGAGAGGGGAGATCTTGAAGGTTCACTTCTATTATACTAATTAGATAGTAAGTTTGTAACCAGAAGGTTCGGGGAATGGGGAAAATGAGACAAATATCCCAGATTCGGGGAATCGCCTAGTTAAAGAAAATGAGACAAATATCCCTCCAGATGCATGAATCTTGGATTTTTATCCTTTATACTTGATTAAATACACTTTAATTAAAAAATTATATTAGTCAAAAGAGTATTAATCAAGAATAAACGATAAAAATTTTATAACAACGCATTTAAAAGGTGAGTTTACCAATTTTTCGCAAAGTTAACATACATCCTGGCCATCCTGGTCCTATTTGCCGAAAGGCAAGGTCAGCCCGTATGTGGACTTATGTGAGACGGGTCAGGCCGACTTGTTCGGCCCGTCCCATATTTACAGTTGTAGTGCACACCACCGCAGATTTTCCATCATACATGGTGTCTGCAAAGAAAAACTCTTTCATAATACAATGTACATTAATTATTGTTAATATATGCTATCATTTGTGTCGAGTGCCCAGGTAACACTGACCAACACTACAATTAAACCTCTAAAAATTAATACCCTTTCCGCCATGAAAATTTATTAGTTAATTGAGACATTATTTAATCGAGATGAATCAATATTCTTGGGAACAAGTCAAGGCTGGCTAAAAATATTATTAATCGAGGTTGTATTGTATTAATACAGAGAGTGGTAGATAAGCACGTGACATTAGTTTTTTTTTTTTTTTTTTGTTCTTTTTTTAATGCAAGCATGACACGAATAGTTGACTCAGGCAAAATTGTCCCTTGTCAAAGTAGAGAACCCGAGCAAAGGGGGTTTTCAAAGAAAAATAGTGTAAGATCCAAAGGAGATAAGTACATGAGACAATGAACTTTTATCTCTTTGATTAGCCTAAAGCTCCCCAGGTATATGTGTTGAATTAAACAAGTAAACGAATATATAACACCTTACACTAACCAGCAGCACAATTAGCCAAAACGTTTCACGTGATAATTATGAATAACAATAAATAAATAAATAAATTATTAAAAAGAATAAAAATAAGTAAATGAATTAAGGGATGTTATTGTCATGCTTCATGCTCCATATATAGGTCATGTTTCTTCATGCTCAAGAGTTGTTTCCGTAACACTATTGAAGAAAGCAGGCTAACTCTCTTTACAAATTGATCAGATAGCTAAAATAGCGGTAATCCCTGACTCGTATAGAGCCCATTATCAAGTTGTTCATCGGAAAGGCTCCTTCCATCTAGACATCCAAGCTGGGAAGCTAGTCACTAATTCTCTTTTTTCGTTTTCCCCTTCATCCATGGATATTATGCAAAAACAAGGAAACGAAAAATTAAGGGAAAACAAGGCCTTTGCTAACTAAACTTATACATTGATAACACTAATAAGTACATATGGACCGCCTCGATTGATTACGTTGCACTATGAGACGACACAAAATGAATAATTTTTCACTACCAAGAAGTACGTTAACTTTAAATGCAAATGGATTCGGCAACTATGCATCTTGCTAAGGTGCATTATTCCATCAGGCATCAACCATGCTCAAACCATGACACATAGGATGATCATGCGGGTGAACCGAAGTTCTTCACCTATTAAGCACAATTTTTCTTGTACAATTCATCTGATTTTCTAATTAGAACTATTCATGGTAATCCGTCAGCTGCGTATTTCAGTCTGGTTCTATGGGATCCTCTAATGCACCATAACTGTACTATACTCGGAACTTCCTATATAAATCTAAACAAAACAGCCTCCAAAAGGCCCGTACTCGCTTCTTAAGTTCTACATCATTCAGCAAAAGAACACTGAATTTTCATTTTTGACTAGAATAACTAAATCGCAGACACCCTAACATACTATCCCCTACTAGTGTCGTTTTTTCCTCCCGATTTCTCTTGTATTATGCTGTGTTACATCAGTTTCTATCTCACTTGAATTGCCACTCAATCCATAATTACAAGTGACAGGTGAAACTTCTAGAGGAGAAATAAGTGCAGTAGAAGCCTGAATGGTTACTGATTTACAGAAACACAGAACAAGAAGATGAAGATCGTGTATCAGTTGCTAGGTATGTCAGGATGACAAGGCAGGAAATCAAACTGGAGAGAGACTATTGGGATTTACGACACGGATAGCAGCCAAATGTTGATGTACAATCAAGAACACAAACGGCGTGCTAACAAAAATTCGGGATCAAGAGATTTCCTGATAGTCAAGGAAGCATCAAGTAGATAAAACAAATAGCGGAATTTCACCATAGACCAAGTCAAATACGCAAGTTAAAACAAGCCTAGGACATTTGTAGAATAGAGTGTGAAACAATTGCCTGGGACTCGAAGTCGAAACTAGTCAGATGGAGTAGACAATCTACTAGTTAGATACATATATATATATATATATATATATATATATATATAGAGAGAGAGAGATCTCTCTCCCTAA